AAATATTTCAGGCACTCTTTGTAAAGGTTCTTATTTCAAAACAAGGAATAATTCGTCAAAATCTGTTTACCTCTTTCCTCAGCATTTCCATTTCATGGGGTAAAGATTTCAACTCTGAGAGTAAATCAACTTCTTTTCGAAGAGCTTCATTCTCTTTAGATTCTCTATTCAGTTCTTTCTGTAGTTCAGTAATCCTTCTTTCCAATTCCAAATTACAGAGCAAATCTAGGAAGTTTTTGGTGAATTAGAGGGCCAATGTTGTCAAATAGGTAATCTAATTTTCAAAGTTCTTTAACCAACCTTTTTCAAGGTCAGATCCAGTATATTTGAAAAGTAATTTTTAAACCCTTGTGATTTGAAAATGGAAAATTTCCCATTGAAAATGGAAACTTTGTAAATTCTTAACAAAGAGTATTAAAAATGAATGTGAAGTTACTAAAAAAAAAAAAATCAGTCTGGTGGATTTTTAATCATCGAAATATAGTTGTCAAATGAATTAAGGACATTTCTAGAGGAAGTCAGATTTGTAAGGAGAAGCCAGAAATTATAAAATACCTTTTGGAACTTTGCCATCTATAAGGGAGTTAAGTGTTGTTATTTCATTAAAAGCAGATTGTAATTCTTTGTCCAGGTCAACTTGCATCTTCTTTTTTGCTTCCAATTGGCTTTGATATAACTGAATGTCATTTTCCATTTGCTTGCAAGTGCTTTCAAGTTCTTTCTATTGAGGAAAAACATTGAAAATTCACAAAAATGTACTGACCATTAGAACTGTTTTTTTTTACATTTCTACATGTTTCACAAATTATTTACCATTTTCTCTTTCAGCTCCAGATTTTCACTTCTAAGAAAGGCTGATTGTTTTTTGGCATCAAGAGCTACAGTTTCAGCATCAAACAGAGTCTGTTGCATTTGTTTTAGATCTTCAGTGTTTTCCTAGACAAATTATAAAAAGCATTCAGTGAGATCTAATTTTGGTAGATAAGAAAAATACTTTAAGTACGATAATTTAACAAATTGGCTACTGTTTAATAAAAAGTTTAACAAACTATTAAAATAGTTACTTAAATTCTAATGAGAATACATAGATAGCTATTTGAAATAAAGTTTATGAAGTCATGCTCAACTATATTTTAGTTACTTATCAATTCCAACTTAAGTGCTTATCTTATGATCATGATTTTATAGTTCTTCAGAATTTCTATTAAACCACCGAAAAAATTCAAAATTTTTGAATCATTGACTTTTTATGGAAGACTGTCCCTAATTTACATTCATTGAACGACTGATATGTTGGACTTTGTATGAATGCTTCTTTATCTGTAAAATGTCCATTTCTCAAAGTTATAGAGAAATTAAGTTGATTAAAACCATGCCCAGTAGCTAGCCCAGTATGAGCATTTACTGTGGAGATGATGATGGTACACTAGAAATGTCTAGATAGTCACACAACAAAATAAACCTTATTTTTACCAATGAGTATGACAAATCCATTTTTATATTTTCTGACTTCCGAGTGTCTATGTATTTTTGTAGATTCTTAATCTGGTCTTCTTTTTCTTCAAGCAGCTTTACTTTTGAATTTAGTTCATTCTAAAAGAATCAAATAAGAATGAAACAGAAGTTAACAATTTGATTTTGAAAGTATTAAAAAGAACGTATAATTTCAATCAACAAAAAATTCAGTTATTAATATTTAAAAATACAATTCCTCTACTTAAATATAATTCCTGTATTTTCTGTAATCATGTTCAATTTATATGATATATATTTTATAGTTCTAGTTATTTATTAATAGAAATACCCACATGAATGCTCACCTCAAGATCTTGATTATATACTTCTGCATGTTTAACTAAATTCTTTAAGTTGGAAATTTCATGAATTAGTTGCATCTGTAAGAGTATGTGAACAGGCAACAGAGCAAACCAATAGTTAATAAAGCAAAAAAAAAAAGATAGCATTGATTCACTGCTTCAGAATTGACATCACCCAACAGTTAGAAGAGATTGAGAGATCAATTGTTTAAGCTACTTGCAAGAGCACCTCATTATTTAAAAATATAAGAATACCACCCAAATAAAACAAGAAAAAAATCTCAGCATGACTTCAATAATAATTATATTTTCTGTTAATAAAGCTAAAATAATGTCATTAGCAAATTAGTAAGCAGTAAAGTGGTAATCAAAATTTTACTAAATACACTTTTAATTGATTTTTGCTTTGTATAAGACATGCACACAAATCTATTCATTCAATTTTTTTTACTTACCATAAATTATCCTTGTGGTTCCACACTGACATACTTTTCAATGAGTTGTGATTTGGAATTAGGTTTAGATTAGGGTCATTTCATGTAATGACTTTACAATATTATTACTGTTCAATATAGAAGTTTGGGATTATGAAGTACATCATTTTGTTTTGTTTTATAGGAAACAGTGGAAAGAAGATGCTATTACTTTATATTGATCATATAAAGTATAAAAGTAAAAGTATTTTTTATCAAATTTTCCTTTGTATCAAAATATCTGTAGCAGAAATATTTGAGTACCAGAAAGTTTTGTATACAAATCAAGCAAATGGCAAGTAACTGAAGAAACATTTTCTCTTGAAATTACTTAATCTTTATAATTGAATAAGCTCTTGAAGAATACAATAAAATTCTGATGGAATTTAAGAAAATGCATCTTGTTTAAGTGATATTTTCTGGATGCTTAATTCAGTCTTGAGTAGTTTTAGGTTTTGGAATGTAGCAGAGTAGACATTTCTTAGGTCAGTGAAACAATGTGAGCTAACAGAAACATAATGGAGCCACACATGTAATTTAAAACTTTTTAATAGGTACATTAAAAAAAACACAAAAAGAAACAGGTATAATTAACTTTAATATTTCACTTAACATGTCAAAAATTATTTCTCCATGTAATGAATATAAAAATATTGAAATATTTTACCTTCTATTTCTTATTCTTTTTTTTAAAGTGAATTCAGACTGACCCAATTTTTATTAATTCATTCATTTATTTATTTACTTTTTAGTTATAGTTGGACACAATATCTTTATTTTTATGTAGTGCTGAGGATCGAACTCAGTGTCTCACACATGGTAGGCAAGCGCTCCACCTGAGACACAACCCAGCCCCATACTGGCCCAATTTTAAATGCTCGATTGTCACATATAGCTATCCTACTGTACAATACAGCCTTAGATATTTGTATTGGTTTTGCTTTAAACAATAGCTCCATCTTTTATCTTTTCTTGCCTGCCTATTTCTAACTTTTATTTGGTTCTTTCTCACATTTACCAACAAGGGAGAAGCAAATAATCAATCTTTAGAAAACATTTAGGAAATAACCATTTAGAAAAATTACATTTCAGCTTATGTTTTGCTTCTCATAAGTAAAAAGATTAATTTTGTAAAGATAAAAGTGTAATCTCCAAATGAGATATTAAGATGCAGAGCATACAGAGAAAGTGTGTAAAGAGCAAACATGTTCAAAACACAGGACACGATCAATAGTTAATCCATTATGATATAAAAAAAATTGAAAATTTTACCTGTAATTGAACAGGTAAAATATTAATCCTCTTAAAAATTTCTGAGTTGTAAAAATTATTAAATAAATCAAGTTAAAATAGGTAGATGGACACATTTTCTTTTGTCCCATGAGACTGATGATATTTGACGTTTTCAATTCATCTCTCTAATGTTTAATATGTAAGCAACCATAATCACTAGATTTCCACCTGAAAATTATCCATGACTTTCATGATTTTTTGACAAAATCCTTAAGAAAACCAGAGAAATGATCACCTGTTCTGAGCCATAATTTGACTTTGTTCAAAATGTTATTCAAAATATACATTTTAGTCTTCAAAATTGGAGCTCTAGACACCATCCTCTTAACTATTCCCCTATATCATCCCCTGTAATAAACCCCATCTCACTGACTAAAGTCCACTCTTCTTTTCATGACATTTTACACTTTGTTAATATGTATATTTTAAAGCAAATTGAATGAAACCCTGTGAAAAATTTTAATATAAACTTTATTTTTCTAAATACCTACAAAATGTAGGAACAACTTTAATTTCTTGATAAAATGGAAATGATAGCTTTGGCACAGAATTCTTTTTTTCTTTACAAAGAAAGAGGGTAAAAACTAAATGATGATATTAAAGATGATGTTCCTTCAGGCTACTCATATAGAAATCCGAAATCAGCTGCAACCTAATTCATATTTCAAGAATTTCAAAGTAGTGGCTCTAATTTTTGGGAGGCTCACAGGTTGCTTTTGAAGTCTGATAACAGGTATTTTTGTTTCAGAAAAATGATGGACTCAAAAATTCTGTTTGTACACTCTAGTTTAAAGACAATCTGCACTAAGGAGTCCCTGAAATCTTAGTGATAGGCTGTAGATGTGAGTGGTGGGAACATGAAAAATGAGGGGCTAATTCTATAGCCTGAGCCTATGTGGTAACGTGATAACAGTCCCCCTCCCCTGTCTCTATGTTTTTTTGTTTTTGCTTTTTGTGGTGGTGCTGGGGTTTGAACCCAGGGTCTTACACATGCTAGGCAAACATTCTACCATTGAGCCACATTCCCAGTACTCAATATGTTTTTTTTTTTTTTTTTTTTTAAAGAGAGAGAGAGAGAGAGAGAGAGAATTTTAATATTTAGTTTTCAGCAAACACAATTGTATGTGGTGCCGAGGATTGAACCTGGGCCGCACGCATGCCAGGGAGCGCGCTACTGCTTGAGTCACATCCCCAGTCCCACTCAATATGTTTTAGAGAAGCAACTTATACAAAGTTATCCTGGCCCTGATCTGATGTAAGATAATAGTCCCCAAACAAATAGCATATTATTCTCAGTGCTGAGAAATATATTTCTGAGATTGATCCTTTGATAAAAGACAGATTCCTCGCCTGGAGGCTGGTGAGCTCAATAGTCTCAAGGTCTATAAAATCAAGTTCCAGATAAAATTGTGTGGTGTGGGCCAAGATGACTAAAAGTTGCCTTTAGGTCCTTGGCACACTATTTAATCTCACTGGAATTATAAATTTTCACTCCTGTGGGTTTCATTTATATATTCAGAAGTAAGATATATGCAGCAGAGATCTAGAAACATGATATAATCCAACTGTCAATAAACAGCTAGGAGTGGGGCTTGGGCGGGATTCTCCATAAACTGTCCCTTAACCCCAATAAAACTGGGACGCAAGGAAGAGAGTTCTCTCATTTCTGAGAGGACATACTCTCCCCCCAGAGGGTGTTGCCCTCCATTTCTTCCTTCTGTTACAAACAACTCTGCTATACTTTTACGACACCTCATGTCTTACTTTAAATTTTCTCTTATGAAGACACAAGAACTGATAATAAGACCTTTGGTAGCATTAGAACAATTTTTAAGTGCCTTGAGTCTGATGATTTCTGGACTAGGTTCTCTTTACACATAGCATAATATCATATGCTTAGAAAATTTAAGTGTTTGTTTTGTTTCCAAAAATTCCATTAATCAGCTTCTTCAACTAATGGAACTAATGGAACATTCTAATAATGTTCCAACTATTTAGGAATATACATTTTAAAGAAAAATTCATTAGTACTTAGTATGCATATATAAGACAGTCAACTAGATCTTAATATTACTATTGGTCTCAGGAAATAGCTATGCTATCTGCTATAGATAAAACTTATAGCACACTAATATATATATATATATATGTGTGTGTGTGTGTGTGTGTGTGTGTGTGTGTGTATGTGTGTAATATAGCAACTATAAGAAAACTATTTCCTCAAGACAAATCCATCAATAGATAGATCCATGAAAGGTTCCCTCTGATGTTTTTAAAATCTCATTCTATTATTTAAAAATAATTATATGATATTTATTTCCATAAGAGATAGATTCCCCTGCCTGGAATAATATGGATGGAACTAAATATAATATAATATTTTTATAACATTGTAAATGAAATATTTCTTTTTCTTTTTTTTTGTGGTGCTGGAGATTTAACCCAGGGCCTTGTGCATGCAAGGCAAGAACTCTACCAACTGAACTATATCCCCAGCCCCTAAACATTTCTTAAGTTCTCTAAATTGTGAGTGTGTGTGTGTGTAAAACAGCTGATCCATAATATCTCAGTATTAGAAAGAAATATCCTTAAGGAAATGATAGTTCTTTTAAAGTTTCATATTTCTCTATCTTACCTCTTGATCTTTCTCAGCTTTTCTTTCTAGAGCCTCAAATTCATCCAAATCATTTTTCTCTTTTAATTTCAATCCCATTTCTTCATTTTCTCTTCTCAGTTGTTCACAGTCTAATACCAAATTATCATACTTAGCACGGAGTGAGTTCAATTCACTTTCTAAGTTTTCCTAATGTAAACAAACAAACAAAAACAAACAATTCTACTCAGATGGAGTTCAGATCACATATTCTTTACTTCCTCAATTAAAATTTGGATTAGCTGAATATAATTTGACTTTGAGTCATTTGATGGTTTAGGCAATTCTCTTCTTCATGTCTTTATGATGGCCTATATTTTGGTAAACTATCTAATTCAGAGTAACTTACTCTATTTAAAAAGGAATAAACAAAAATCATGTAAATAAATATAAGTCTGCCTATGCCTGATAAGGAAAGTCCAACTGCAAAGGCAGAGTAATTGTTAGGAAACCCATTTCACCACAATAAAGCTCATTATTTAACTACTAATTGGTCTGACTTCTATTTCTCAGATGACTCTGAATTCAGGAAACAGAAATAGAGATCTTACTAATGACTTCTAAATCTCTAATGGTGGCTATGTTTTACCATACTTAAAGAAGCATATTTTTCCTTTCCATACTATTATGAGAAAGAGATAAAAGTATGAGTTTAAAACAACAACAAAAAACTAAGGCATTTTTTTTTCTTTCCTTTAAAAACTAACTCCTAGGTTAAGTCTCAAGGACACAAAGGCACTTTGCCTATAATACTTTATAGACATAAACTAATGATAACAATAATTATTGGCACCATAATTGTATTCCAAAATTAAAATGAAATTTTAATAAATACATTATACAACTATATGTCTTTGAACATGGACAATGTAGAAAGTAGCTTGGAATCTAAACTTATTGACTTATTCACTACAGTATTCTTTACTGCTTAGTTTTAATAAAACTATACAGTATTGGCCTTCTGTAACTATGAATTCCTCATTCAAAGATTCAATTAGCCTCAGACTGAAAATGTAGTTAGGTCTACAATGGTTGTCTCAATACTTAAAATGTAGACTTCTTTCCTTATCATTATTCCCTAAATACAGCATAACAACTACTTACACAGCATTTATATTGTATTAGCTATTACAAGTAATATAGAGATGATTTTAAACTATATGGGAAGATAGGCATAGGTTATATGAAATTATTAAGGCCTTTTCCTCTAACAGATTTCAGCATCTATGGGCTTTGGTATCAGTGGAGGTACTAGAACCCATCCAACGGATAAGGAGGAAAAACTTGTACTTTTATTTTTCTGTATTATCTAGCAAAACTATCCTACTCTGTTGTATTGTTTTATTGAATGTCTGAGAATTTTGACACTTCAAATTTTTAAAAAATTTATTCTTTTTATTTATTCATATCAGTATATTTTGACATATTTAGACAAACATGAAATATATCTTATTCTAATTAAGATCCCAGTCTTGTGGTTGTACATGATGTGGAGATTCCCTGTGTCATATTTGTATATGTTCTTAGGAAAGTTATTTCTGATTTATTCCACTGTCTTTCCTATTCCTGTCCCTCCTCCCTTTCCTTCATTTCCCTTTGCCTAAGCCACTTAACTTCTAGTTAGTCTTTTACCCCCATGCAGTTTTCCAAATCAAAACAGAAATTCTAAAAACATTATAGATACTAAGATTTGCTGGTAAAGAACTAGAAGCAATGTCTACCTCTGAGCATGTACCAGCTTTATAAAATTTTTAGACTTCCCCTAGATGTCTCATCATTATCAACCAAAATATAAAAGTGAGGGAAATCTTTGTTAGAGCATAAACTATCTCTGGTATTAAGTCAGAACTGATAATGTGCTACAACAACAAAGTCCAATAGCAAACAAATTTAAAAAGAGTAAAAAGATCATATTCTGTAAAATATATTAGGTTACCTGGCTTAGTAGCTTTGTTGCTGAATTCCATTCTATCTCAGTTAATGAATCAAGAGTATTACTGAAGACATCAGACTCTAAATAGAGAGCTAAAATTTGGGGAAGAGGAAAAATTTTTCTATGAACTTATACATAACATACCCTAATAGTCAAATTAAAGATTACAAACAAAAACAACAACAACAAAAACACTGACCAAAGGTAATAAGCTCATATTAGCTAATATGTCCTTAGTATGAATGCCAAGATAACATTAAAAACAGATGTGATATTTATATTGTTTTGTGAATTAAAATAGCTCGTTAGAATTGGTGACAAAATGTAGGATCCTTAATACAATACAGGTAAAAAAGACAGATTCTAAATATGAGATCTGATCACTGTAAGTAGATTTATAAATGCCCCTAAAAAATAGATTATATTACCAGAGATACAATTTTGAAAGATTCCTATGTAAGTGCTGCCCTTTGAAAATTGGCAAGTTTAAGGCAGATGTTATGAATACTGTACAAATTTAATTGAGCAATTAGAAGGAAAAAACAAAACAACCTGACTCATGATTCAACTACAAAATTCTTAAGAATTTTAGAAGAGTTTCATGTTTACTTTTTCAAAATCACAAATTCTTATAATAATTTCCATTGCATTCATATCTAAAATACATACATTTTTACTTCAATGTGTTTATCACACAGAGTTATAAATGTTGGCAAAACAGGCACTCACATTCATCAATTTCTCCTAACACAGCGCTATCAGTCTTGTGTCTTCTCGTTGTTACATTTGCTGGCATATTAAATTCATTTACATAGTTTGAGTCCTTCATTTTGTTAATTTTGCCAAAGCACCAAGTAACTCTTCGTTTTCTTTTAGCCTAAAGGAAAAAAATCAAAATTACTTTACACAGATCTATGTTCAGACATCATAAAACAAGGAAACTAGCTCTTATTTTTAAAAATTATTGATTTGGTAGAATTTTTAGGTTTAGTTTAATATTTTACTTGTCTGAGGACATTCTAAAGTAAGAAAATATACTCAAAATTTTCAACTCAGTGTTTCAATCCATTACAAAGTGAATAAAACTACTGCTGACTTTACATTCTTTTTCTTTGGGATTATACTCCTTCTGTTATCTGGGCATTTGTCATTTCCACTGGCTTTCTGCTCTCAACTTCACAAATACTCAAGCCTGTTTGGTTTTACTGTTTTTTTTTTTTTTAAACCTCTTGACTGGTTACTTACCTCTAGCTAACCTTTTGTCTTTGCTCTTACTTTGTCCTCTTTCTCAATCCTTCAGGGACCTCCATCTCTGGTTTCTTATGCTACCCACCCTGTAGTCCTTACCACTGTTTTCTGCATTCTCTCCCTCTGCCTGCCTCTTTTTATAGTTAAACATAGTAGTTGTTTTCATCCTGACAAACTCATACATTCATGGAACTCAATTTCATGTCATGACTTTCCCCCAGATCCTCCCTCCCCTCTCCTATTCTCCTTCCCCTACTAGATTTCCTTTTGCTCATGTATTTATTTATATTTGATTGGTTCTTTCTACCTAGGCATAAAGGTGAAGTTCCCTGTTGTATATTTATATATGCACATAATATGATTTTTAAAGAATTTCATTCTGTACTGCCTTTCCTTACCCATCCTTCCACTCTGCCTCTTGATCTCCTTTTTTATTACCGATCTTCCCTTTATCTTTATGTTATCCTATGCTTCCCTCCACCCTTTCCTTTATTTTACTCTAGCTTTTGCATGTAAGAGAAAACATTTAACCTTAGAGTTTCTGAGTTTGATTTACTTCACTTAGCATGATATTCTCCATTTCTATCCATTTACTGGCAAATGCCATAATTTCATTTTTTTTATGGCTAAGTAGAACTCCACTGTGAGCATATATGTGTGTGTATGTTTGCATATATTTCTTAATCCATTCATTTATTGATGGGCATCTGGGTTGATTCTATAACTTGGCTACTGTGAATTGTGCTGCTAAAAACATCGAGGTGGCTGTGCTGCTGTAGTGTGCTGATTTTAGATCTTTTGCTCTGCCTGCCTCGTATGTTTTCCAGGTTTCACAGCCAACGTTCTTCCCTGTCTCTTCCTAGGTATAATTCAATTCTCTCAATGATCCTATGAGTGGATCTTTTATTGCATCCTTTTTATAGTCACCCCCAAATTTGGGGAAGTTGTAAGGCTGTAAAATCAATTGGTAGCTGAGCCCATATCTGTAACTTTAGAGCCTATCTAGGTAACCACTGCACTATATAGCCTCTGAAGAGTAACTCTCTTCCCCAGGATACACTGCTTACTTCTGTCTCACTGTATACTACCCCTTCTTCTTAAAATGGGTAACTTTTTCCATAGCCCACATTGCAAAAGCCGAGTCATATATAAAGCCTCATTTCCAATGACCCTCAGCTTAATTCCATTGGCTCACTAAGCCACACTTGAATCTTGTCATTATCTGAACTCATAAACCTAGATCTGCCACTCCCGCCATAGTTGCAATACTTCTACCTCATTTATTCAATCCCATTTTGACTGGTTAGCTTAATAGGGACTTTTTCCTTGTCCTTGTTATACCACTGTCTTCCTGACAGCTCCCTCTTTGATTCTCATATCATCATCTTTGAGTCCATAGGTCATCACTTCAATTATGTTTGACATTGGAGGTTAATATCCTCAGAAATCTCTGTCCTTCACACCTACTCCACACAACGTATGTTCAGATGAATTATACTGCCTTCTGAGCCTGTATTAGCCTCTTGAGCAGCGCTGAGTCACACAGACAGACATGAATCAGATCCTTTATGCTGCCTGGCAGGACTTTTCTCTCCCTTGTCAGGTTTCTTTTCCATTCTCAATAAGGGCCAGATTATTTTGAATGCTTGGTATATCTGTAAACTTGTGACTCTATCTACAACTGCCATCACACCAGAAAAACTGAATCTGTTTCACAAAGAAAATATAAAACTAAACTTACAAAAGTACAACTTGCACTGATATCTATCCTTTCCCTTGTGTTTGTTGAAATCTAATAAATTGGTCTCCTATTCAGGGCTAGCTCCTTCTATTATATTCAAGAGTCCATCCCTTTGGTCTATCTCAACTCACTGTTAGGCAGCTTTCATCCTCACCATATAACTAAATTTGTTTTTGCAAATGTGCTCCTTGTTCCTCAATGCAAATAGTTTTTGTCTATTTTAACCTTACTTAACTCCTTGGCAAAACATGACACCACTGACCACAACTTCCTTGAAATATTCTCTTCCCAGCTACCATATTCATCCTTCTTCACCCTAGAGCTGAACCTGGGCCCCTTTATGGAGTCTTCTTTTTCTACCTTTACCTAAAATGTTTCTTGGGGTTTTTTCCTTGTCATTCTAAGCTTTTCATTCTCAACTTGCTTAAAGAACAAACTCATCTCTTCCCATAATTTTAATTTAGATCTGTAGTAGCATGTGCCCAAACTGATTACATTGCCCATCTTCCGCACTGTTTCCATATATTTGCATTTTCACCTGCCTGACATCTCAAAAGATATTCCAAGCACTTCTACTGTTTTTCATTGTTACTTAACAAATTCTGCTACTAGCTTCCCAGGAGGCTAAGCAAGACTTTCACATCACTCTGGATACCTCTTTTTCCGTTTCTCTGTTCCTGACATCCAATCAATCACTAAGTTTACCCCATAAACAACTCTCCAATTTATCCAATTTGCTCCCTCTCCAGAGCCACATTTCTTATAGAGGCCCAACTATTCCGATATGCATAGCAGTCATGCTTTTTCTGCAATTCTGACATCACACACAGTCTCTTATTATCTCCTTAACATAAAGTCACATTCAAATATCACATGATGGTTTAACATGGACTGACCACTAGAACATTTTAAGTCCAAAGAATGCATCATGTATTTTCATAGCCTCAGGCTTTTGCATATATAGGTCTCTTCCCTGTGCCGTTGTGCCTCTTTCTATTCACACTCAGTCAACCAATAGTTCTTGAATGTCCCCTCTATATTTAGTATGGTGACTTGTACATAGTGCCTATTAATAATAATTTATTAATAGCTTATAATTACTAAATTTGCTGTGTAGAAAGGATTGTATTAGGCACATTCTATGTATTATCTTACTTAATTCTCACAACACCCCATGAGGTATGTATCAAGCTATTTCACAAATAAAAAAATTACAGTGAAGGGGATTCAAGAAATTGCCCAATGTCTAAGAGTTAGGAATTGATGGATCTGGGATTCAAATTCAGCCAGTCCAGATTCAGGGTCCTTCCTTCTATTCATAATATTATACCCTAAAATGTCAACAAAAAACACAAACGAGCTAGAATCTTGATCACCACATTGATTTATATTCTAGATCAATGTTTCTAAGATTAATAATTCTATTTCTTTAAACAAAAACATCCCCCTAGTGACCAGTGGTTTCTAATCATCTGCATATTACAAATAGATTCTTTAATTATATGTTAGACTTCTTGAATAAGAAGCGCTACATGTGGAAATTAGGGATAGGGTATTTTTAATGAACTTCTTAGGCAGTGTTGATGTATAAGCAAACACACAAAATGTCTGGGTTTCTTGAATATACTGTATAAAAGAATAAGAAGTGCCTAACTATATCATAAATATATAAAAGTGCCTATTTTCTACCATAATATTTAAGCTGTTATCTTTTATTTTATTACCTTTAATTCCTGTTGCATTGTAAGAGAAGAAGAAGTCACCAGCATTCGTGTTAAGTTTTGAATTTTTTCATCCTGTACTTTTTGAAGTAAATCTTTTTCATCCAAAAGTTGGGCCAATTGGTCTTTTTCCATTTCCTGGGCCCGAGTCTTTATACTGACCTACAGAATGTAATAATGGGTTATGTTAATAATAGATGTAGCTAGATCTTAAAAATTTGAAAGTAGCTTAAAAAAAGAATATGAAATATGCATATGATCTCAGAGAATTTAATTGTATTGAAATAAAATATATCCTAAGTGCAGAACTCTAATGTGCAGTTACTATAATCAATAATTTCTCAAACTTGTAATATAGCAAATTACACATTTCTTCTCAGGTCTCTATTCTATATACTATGTAAAAGATAAGAATACTGTTAAAACAGTTCTATTAATTGCTACGAATATCTAAACAACAGGCAGAAAAGTCAAAGAAGCTGAAATCTGTATACCAATAGCAAACACAGACATTTCCTCTTTCATCTTATAAGACTATTATTTGATATCTTAGGCAATTTTTTCAGAGATCACCAAAATTAAAGACTTACAAATTATGAGACCAAGATTAAAATAAACCAGTTACAATGATAGGTTGATTATACTATATTATTAGGATACTACTTAAGGGTTAGAAGAGGAATTGAGAAGAATGTGAAAATACAAAAGATAGTTTTAAGTAACTATACATGGTCTTTCTTGTTAACCTGAATTAATACGTACTTGTAAAACATTTTAAGAAAGTATTTCTACTTGGCTTATTTGAAAAAAAGTCTTAAGTCTTGAACTTTGGAAATGAAAAACAAAATTCAAAATAATTTCAAGAAACCAAATCTTTCAATTTATAGTAAACAAAGTTAAATTTTTATGAGTTGATATCTTCTTAGTTAAAACTATTTATTCTAAAATTAAGCTGTAGCAGCTCAGATATTCATGAATTTAGAATTTTGAGGGGCAGATCTCCATTATTCTAAATTGGTCCCTATATACTGAAATAAATGATTTATACATACCTCCTCTAACTGTTTTTTAAGATCCACTATTTCCTTTCTATATCTCTTTAGGAGAGCTTCATCACTTGATACCTCATTAACATAAGGAGTATTCTTCATGTATTTAGCAGTGCTGGCAAACTGGGAAAAAATGAAGTAAAATATGTTTTAATACTAAAAGAAGTCATAACAACATTTAGGTTTCCTATGATCAAGTTTCTTGGAAGACAAACCAAAGCAAAGTTTTCCCAGTTGGCTTAATATTTTTGAATACAGGGAGCATTCTATATTGTTCTTTTAACCATGCTCTGTGACTTACTCTGGCCAATAGTTTCAGAAGAGTTAGAAAAACATCTTGAAGACAGATGCAATAGAGAACCTACAAAACCATCCACCCCTCCCAAATGCTTCCTATACTTTGAAGCTCCTCTTCCAGCCCAAACTATCCCCCCTTTCTTTAAACTCTATACTAATCCAAGGCAATCATGTCAGAAGACAAATCTTAATCTGCTCATAAATCCTGTAAAGTCAGGAATGTTTTCTCTTTGTTCTACTGGCAGGACCTTAATCCAGTGCTCAATAGCTATTTAAAGCAATGGCTTGAGTATGAGTACTAAAAGTAACTTTAAGTGGGAACATGAAGGTGACCAGTAAATAATACTGAATTCTTCATTGAGAAAGCTATTCCATTGATGTTTTTCATTTTCCTTTCCTTCATTTTTAACAGAAAATGTTGGCCTTTAGCACAAAACCAAGGTGGTCAACTGATAGAATTCAAGACTTATATTGTCCTATACACACATACACATACGCAAATACATATATATATATGCGCACGTGTGTGTATATATACGTGTGTGTGTGTGTATAGTTTTGGTTACTTTCTACTTGTGGTGAGTAATCTTAGTTTTCCATTCATAGGATTGATAAAATTTGCTTTTATCACAAATTAAGTACAAAAAGTAAGTTATTTGAATAAAATATCAAGTCAATTTCAGTCAAAATAACATTAGATATGGCTAAAATTATGGAAGTGGAATATAAAAGATTGAAGTTTTGAAAGTTAAACTAAGAAATGGTATTTAGTGGATAACACATTAATTTTATCATAACAAGTGTGTTACGTCAATTTTAAAAAGTATACCAAATTTTAGTAGGTAAATCTTTCTTCTTAAAGTTCACCTTTCCCCATATTAAGATAAAAAAAATCAAACTCACCTGAAGAGTAGAAAGAGTTTCATCAAAAGATACTGGAGTAATTGTGCAGATAATACGTGTTTTTGCATTTCCTCCCAAAGAATTCTGAAGAATTCGTGTTAATTTGCTATCTCGATAATTTATGAAACCACTTAACAAGAAATGAGTTTGGGAAGAAAAAGATTGAGAAATTTTTTATTATAAAAGTGGTTGTCTTTTAATACAGAACTTTTAGTTTTAAAAATTAATTCTTTATTAAAATCAGTATACTACAGAAATGCAGCAACACAGCCATATCAATGTTTGTAGCAGCTCAATTCACAAAAGCTAAACTGTGGACCCAACATAGATGCCCTTCAATAGATGAATGGATAAAGAAACTGTGGTATATATACATACAATGGAATATTACTCAGCATTAAAAGAGAATAAAATTATGGCATTTGCAGGTGAATAAATGGAGCCGGAGAATATCATGCTAAGCAAAGCGAGCCAATCCCCAAAAACCAAAGGCAGAATGTTCTCTCTGATAAGTGGATACTGATCTATAATGAGGGAGGGGGCATGGGCAAAACAGAGGAACTTTAATTGGGCAAAGGGAAGGGAGGGGAGAGAAGGAGAATGGGGGGGCAGGAAAGATAGTGAAATGAGATGGACATTATTACCCTAGGTACATGTATTGACTGCACATATGGTGTGACAATAGCCACATCACGTACAACCAGAGAAATGAAAAGCTGTGCTGCAGTTGTATAAAAAATACTTGCTTTTGAATATGTGGAAGTAAATAAACTCCAGTGTTACTGAAGTGTTATAATTTTCAACCTAATGAGAAGCCTGAGTAAGTGTAGGTGTGTAATGGGATAAACTTACCCAATTTGTCCATCACTAAGTTTCTTGATTACTTGTCCCAAAATAAATAAGCTTCGATTTATATTACAGCCTTCCTTGAGTCGTACACCTAAATTTATGATTAAAAAAAAACAAAAACAAAAACAAATCAAAACTGCCCCCCCCAACCTAGGTAACTAAGTTATTTATTAGTAAATGACAAGAGAAATTAGACATCAAAGAATCAGTTGCTAAGATGTGCGTTTTGGTTTGGACCTGAGCCCACCGTATTATAATTTTGGTAGGCATTCTCTTCCTATTCCTTCCACCAATTAAGTGATTCAGAATAGGTATCAGCAGTAGGAAAAACATTACTAAGAATCAGAGGGACTACTTTGGGAGGATGAGTCAGGAGGTCACAAATTCCATACACACTTTAAAATAACCATACCTAATTTAAACAACACAAAAATGCATTCTTGATGTTATTATTAGGATTGTGTTAAATCCAGAAATTAATACAGAGAAACTTGGCATCTTTGTGATTTCAAATCTTCTCATCTAATTATGCTTTTTCATTTTCACAAAGTTCTCCATAATTCAGGTCTGATTTAAAGATTTCTTTACATTGATTTTGTGCAATCTATTGAGTTTCCTAGTTGAGATATCAAGTTTTACTATGTAAAAGATGTACCACATCTTTTACATTATTAATGTAAATAACCTTTGTCCACATAAAATTCTAATTGGTTTTGTCTGTAAGAGTTATTAATTTCTATATATTAAATTTGTACCACACTACCTTTCTTTGGATTTTCATTTGTTTTATTACACATATAAGGAGAACTGGAAAAAATAGCCAGTTTTGCCACGAAAGACTAGATCCTATAGAGTTAAAATTTAGCTGTAATGTTAAGATTCTCCCAGGATAGATACATAGGGATGATATGCAGTATCATTTTTCACATAGTAGAAAAGCATCCTTTTCTTTTCAATGCTAACCATGGTCACGTCTCATTTTCTAATGGAGATTAGTCTACATAAATTTTGAAAGGGCAAAGGTGTAATGAAAGAATCTGTATATACTTACCATGTATCCTAGAATCAGAATATTAGTACTGGAAAGATACTTCCTACTACCTTCCTTTTTTTCTTTTCTGTACTAGAGATTGAACCCAGGAGTCCTTTTTGCCAAGCTAAGCTCCCAGTACTTTTTTTTTTTTTTTTTTGAGACAGAGTCTTGCTAAGTGTAGAGCCTTGCTAAGTTGCTGAGGTTGGCTTTGAACTTTTAAGCCTCCTGCTTCAGTCTCCTGAGCTACTGGGATTATGGGCATGTGCCACTAGGCTCAGCTATCTTTCTTAATATCCTTACTAACTGTAGAAATTTAAATAGTTTTTGTGGAATTCTCATGGGCTTCCCAGATATACTAATCTATTAATTACATAACTTTAGCTTTTTAATAGATGCTACAATAGTTCAAAGAAAATAATTAGTCATATATAGATGCCGATTTTTGTGTTAGGGACTTTTAGCAGAAAATTACTATTATCAGTTTTAAAAAAATGCTTAGAAGCATTTTTATCCCATAAAAGAAGGCACTAAGAGTAATTTACTTTACTAGTTCTCATTACCTTCAGCTCCTGTTTGAGCAGCTCTTTCACTGCCTGCAAGATCGACCAAATTCTGTAGGACAAATGAAAATAAACCTTCAGGAGGGATAATTAGAAATAATAAAGTCCAAACTATTGAAAGAACATTTTAATACATGGCATATCTGAATGTCCCATCTAAATTCTTATGTTTCTTCTTGAGATAATATATCATCTTGAGTCAAAGTAGTCTCTATGTGTCGTTTTTCTTTCTTTATGACATATACTCATGCTGCAGATCACAGTAGGTTGTTTCCTATATAGTCCAAAACTTTATCAAGGTGAACATGATTCTTTGCAACCCAGCACTTGTGGCAGCAGTAGGTTCTAACATTCTAATGTGCCTTTATTCAAGAACCAGGATAAATGTTACCTCCTTAGTGTAGCTGTGCCAACTTTACTCTTCCTACCTCACACTTTGAATTTTTTTTGAAACGTTACTTCCACTATGTATCCAGAACACTTTATTAGATATGACTTACTCTTATAGTTTAACTCCTGTAGAACTAGTCATTTGAGTCCTTGACTACCCTGTAGCATCTTCAAAAGCATGGACCTCTTTCATTTTACAAATAATAGTGGGGGAAAAAAAAGTGAATATCTATCATGTTCTAGGCAGTGCATTAGTTGCTGGAGAAATAGCAGAGAACCAGACAAATGAGGTCTCTGCTCTCACAGAGCTTGTATTCTACAGAAGAGGAGGTTGTTAAGAGAGAAAAAGACATGTGAGAAATATATTGTGATAAATGTAGTGGATAATTCAAATAGAGCTGGAAGAGAGCAGAGGGAGGAGCAGAACACATCTTCTGGATGGGGTGGTAGGGGAAGGCCAGTCATCAGGCTAAGAAAGGCAGTTATGAAAAGATTAAGGGAAATGGCAGTCTAGACAGAAGGTAAGCCAGCATACCAGGTCACAAATCAGAGTGCCCTTGGTGTGTTAAAAAATGTAGAAAGGGCAGAGTGGTGAACTTAAGCAGGAAAAAGACAGGGTAAGAGAAGGAATGATCACATTATGCAGGGTTTTTTAAGCAAGACTAAGAATTCCAGGTTTCCTAAATGCAACGGGAAACCACTGGAGGGTTTTATACGGGGGAGTACTAATACAATCAGATTCAACTTTCTAAAGCATCAACTGTGCCCTTGAGTGGAGAATGGATTAGAGAGGGACAGGAGCGGTAGCAGGCAGCCAAGGTAGGAGACTAGTGCAGAATCCAGGTGAGATGATGGCAGCTTGGTCTGGAGAGGCACCAGTAGAAATTATCTGTGTATTAAGTAACAGAGGAACGTATCATTTATTCTTTTAATCTCAGAACCCAGCATTGTGCCCAGAGCATGAGAAACTCTCTCTATATATTCAGAATACATTAAAAGAAAGAGCTTTAAGTTATTTCTCTGTGGAGATTTTCAGGGTGTAGGCAAGTAATTATAGTTTTGTAGTTATATCTCAGATACTTTCTTCTCTAAAATAATCAGAAGTCTAATGGTCCTTACATAGTGTCCACTACAGATGATCCAGATTCATAATCAAAGGCAAAGTGGTTAAGGAGTGAAGCAGCATGAGTGAAGTCATGACAGTGGGAACAAGTACTCCTAACCAAAGACACCTATCCAAAGCTTCCAAGAGGCCCCATCTAGGAGAGGAACTCATGTGGAGCAGAGGAAGTACATTTCTTGTCCAAGAAGTGACATAACAAAAGCAGTGCTTAGATAAATTTCAAATTTGTATAATAGACTGGAGAAAGGAAGACCAGAGTCATGAAGGCCAGGTTTCAGGAGATCAATGTAGTAATTCAAGAGAAACGACGATCTAAATGAATATACCACAGGAATGTACCAAAATAAGAAATGAGACAACAGGACAAAGAGAAATACCAACAAAGATTAATTGAATTAAAGAGTCAAAATTGACAAAGCTTTCCTGGAAAAAGCAGAATAGTCACTACTGCTGTAAGAAATTAATTTTATATATACTGCAGTTTGAGATAACAGTAGCATGCATAATTCCAGCAATCTCAGAGACTGTAGATAAAAATAAATATTTAGCAATCTTCAATACAGAAATGGTGAAAGAATATCTGAGTGTAAGAATCTGAAGTAAGAAAAGCCACAGAACACTCCTGAGTTTTTTTAGAAGGGCAGGAGAAAAGAAGACACAGAAGGGAATGGAGGAGTAGAGCTGAGAGAACCTAAATATTATCATCCCCACAAGGCCAGGAAACAATTAGGAAAGAGTCAGAAGATGATTCTTCAAGAAGATTCTTACAGGAAGTGGGTAGGCCAAAGGGATGTCCCAGATAATGTCCAAGGACCACAGATTGAGCATTGAGGAAGGTGAGGATAATCACCAAATAGAGCACTGAATACATCAAGCGTATTTAAAAGAAAAAAAAAAATCACTGGTGTTGGAAGAGGTTAGTTTGTTTTTGTTGTTACATTAAAACAACATTAAAGTCTACTAAAATAAGAGATACACTTTTTACACTAAAATAAAGTTAGAATGGAATAGTAAGAATTTGCTTTCATGAAATCTGAAAATAAATATACTGTTGATTAATTTTTTCTCTATAGTTTTCAAATTGAATAAGGTAGTCTTTTTTTTAATATGGCAAAGTCTTTACTTTTAAATTATTATCAGAACACCAAATAATAACATGTAACAAGTTCTTGAGTCTTATAGCCTAGTAATTTTGTTTAAAATAAACTAAAAACAGCCCAAACAAGTATGTTAGTATTCATTGTTCTAACTAAATAAGGTAATCTTAAATCACATCCCATATCAAGCTGAAGAATTTAGGCCTTGCAAGCAATCCTTAGAAAAGTGAAGCTGGAGGTATCACAATACCACATCACAAATTATACTACAGAGTTACAGTAACAAAAATACCATGGTATTGGCACCAAAACAGGCATGCAGACCAATGGAATAGAAGACACAAAGATATACCCAATAAACACAGTTATAGAAGACAAAGGTGTCAAAACCAAAGATAGCCTTTTTAACAAACTGTGCTGGGAAAACTGGAAATCCATATGTAGTAGAATGAAACTTAACCTCTATCTCTCATCCCACACAAAACTTCATTCAAAGTGGATCAAAGACCTAGGAGTTAGACCAGAACCCCTGCAACTGTTAGAAGAAAATGTAGGAAAAAAAAAAAAGAAGAAAATGTAGGTCCAACATTTCATCATGTTGGCTGAGGAACTGACTTCCTTAATAAGACTCTAAAAGCCCAAGAAGAAGTAAAATTAAAAATAAGTAAGTGGGATGGCATCAAATTAAAAAGCTTCTTCACAGAAAAGGAAACAATTAAGAGTGTAAAGAGAGCCTACAGAATGGGAAAAAAAATCTTTGTCACTTATACCTAGGTTAGGGCATTGATATCTACACAAAGAACACAAAAAACTTAACACCAAAAATATCACCACCACCACCAACAACAAAACCAAACCAAAAAACAAAGACACTCCCCTAATAACCCAATCAATAAATGGGAAAAGAAACGAAACAGATACTTCTCGAAGTACAAATGGTTAACAAATATATGAAAAAATGTTCAATATCTCTAGCAATTAGAAATGAAAATTAAAGCTATACTGAGATTTTCTCTTACTGTAGTCAGAATTGCAATCATCAATACTATTATACAATCATACTATTTGCAATCATACTATTATACAAATAATAGTAAATGCTGGTGAGGATGTGGGAAAAAGGTATACTCATATATGTTGGTGGGATTGCAAATTACTGCAAGCACTCTGGAAAGCAGTGTGGACATTCCCCCCAAAAACTAGGAATGGAACCATATAACTAAGCTATCCCACTCCTCAGTATATATTCAAAGGATTTAAAATCGGCATACTACAGTGATGTAGCCACCTCAATGTTTATAGCAGCACAATTCACAATAGGCAAGCTATGGAGCCAACCAACATGTCCTTCAACAGATGAATGGATAAAGAAAATGTAGTATTATATAAACAACAGAGTATTACTCAGCCAAAAAAAAAAGAAAAGAAAAAAGAATGACTATGGCATTTGCCAGCAAATGGATTGAACTGGAGACTATTATGCCAAGTGAAATAAGTAAGTCCCCAAAAGCCAAAGGTAGAATGCTTTCTTTGATATGTGGTAGCTAATCCAAAACAAAGGAGGAGATTAAAAAAAAAAAAAAAAAAGAATAGAAGGAAGATCAGTGGAGTAGACAAAGGGGAAAGAGGGAAGGGAGGAGAGATGGGCTGGGGAAAGACAGTAGAATGAATATTACATAACTTTCCTATGTACATAAGTGAATATATCACAGTAAATCTTACCATCACGTACATCTGTAAGATACTAATTAAACAACAACAACAAAACGATGAGTAAATAGCAAAAGGAGTAGAGGGAAGGAAACAGGCAGAGGGAGGAGGGAAGAAAAAGGGGAAACATCGGAGACTAAATTAGAACAAATTATATTCCATGCTTTTATAATTGTTAAAATGAATCCCACTGTCATGTATAACTAAAAACAACTGATTACACACACACACACACACACACACACACACACAGGAAAAAAGAAAAAAGAATTTGATGGAGAACAGATCAATAATGAAAAAGGATAGGGAAGGAGCAAGAGACAGCTATGGTATAGTGTAGCAAGAAGGTAATGATGTACTTATGTGGAGAAAAGGGAAAGTTTGCATAATGCTAAAGTTCAGTAAATATTTATTGCAATAAATATGCAATATGTTGGGGCTACAAAGATGAACATGACATCACTCTTCTCTTCAAGGGATTTATAGTCTACAACCTTGTTTATGGCCTGGGTGTGAAGCTCAGTGGTAGAGCATTTGCCTAGCACACACAATGTCCTGGGTTGGATCTGCAGCACCCAGCAAAAAACCCCAAAACAAACAAACACAAACCACCATTTATAATATAAAACATATATTTTTATTGTTTCTAAAAAAATAAAAAAAGACCTGAATAATGTAATTTGTTTTATCCATTCTAGTTAGTTTTTGTTATTGTTGTTGATCACACAAGTCTGAGTTTTAATTAAAGAAAAAAAAATCTCCAAATTCCAAGATTACTTAAATTCTTAGATATGCATAAAAAAACAATCTTACTTCTTTGGTGGTTAGAAAAAACTTCAACTCCTGTAAGCCTTACATCTAAATTTTAGGAGATGGGAGCCATGATATAATAGAAAGAAATATTCTCTAAATTCTTCCTACAATATTTCTGATAGTAATCTGATATTTGTGACAAGACTAGTTAAACTGCCCAATTTATATATATATATATTTTCCTATTTAGTTAACAGTTCTCATAAAACCAAACATCCAACAGCTAATGACAATTTGTTTTGGCTCCTACGGTACATTATTATGATTCATTAGTACTCACCAAATGGGACACCTTGATAGATCCTTCACAATTAGAAGGTTCACCTTTCTCTCTGCTTTCCAAAATCTAGACAGAAAAGGCAACTTGTAGAAAATTAGTGTATTCTTACTTTGAAAGATAAAATATTGGGGAAATAATTACATACCATCCTGAAAATAGTGTGAGAACGACTACTTCTTTGATTCATTTTTGTTATTCCATAATGTCTGTTCTCTGTAAAAATGAGTTATATTTCAGCTACATACATGTTAAAGTTCAAGAAAAACACTGATTTTATTTTAGCCTAAGTGCGATTTGAAACCTATTTTATTTTAGCTTAACAATTAAAAATGGGATTATTGAAGTTTTTGTAAGCATTTTAAAGAAATACAGCAGTCTTACTTTCCCCCTTTGTGATCCACTGCAAAGCCATTTCTGAGGTATAAACCACTTCTTCTGTGAGATCAGCAACATACACATTCCTCTGAAACCAGTAATTATGGAAAGATTAGAAAAAAGTCATTTATAAGTTTGCTTTTCAAAAAGATGGTATAAACTATTTCAGAACTTGAGAAAGTTAAAAAATGGATTGATTATTCTGTAAAAAAAAAATAGCAAACAACTCTAGGAATAATCACAAGTCACTGTGTACATCAAAGCCTACCATCTTGCTATTTTTAGGCACTTAATCTATCAGTACTTTAAAACTACACAGATTGCTGAAAAAATGGATCTCTCTATAAACACTTGAAAACAACAAACAAAAAACCATAGAAAGAAAACCAAAAAAAAAAAAAGGAAATACTTTTAAAAAATATGCAGAGCAATTCCAATAAGTGAATATGTTTTAAAGCCAGCTAACTCGAATACTCACGTTGATGTCTTCCCGAATTATTAAAGGTTTCATTTTTTGAGTGTTACAGAGTAAATCTGTGATGATTTCATTGTATATCTCCATGTAAGACACCCGTAAGAGAAATTCTCTCTCAGGAAACTAGGAGGAAAAAAAATGTGTGAAAGCATCAGAAAGCAATAGGAGGAAAAAAAATGTGTGAAAGCATCAGAAAGCATCCATTTATGAAAATCTAATACCGAACGCTTACCATTATTATTAAAGAGGTAAGGAAGGTAATAATCTTTGTAAAACAAATAAAACCCCTGGTTCTGTGTTCATAACAAACATAAAAATACAAAAGCATTGTTTTAGAAATAATGAAAAGTGTGCCATCATGAATAAGAGGAGACCACCCAATCCAACTCTCCATACTCAAAGTAAAACCCTAACAAGAGATGCTCTTATTTTAATGAAAACAATAACTCAAACCCAACTTGTAACTAGTTGTGTATTCTGACCTTCTGCTTCTCTCTTTTTTTTTTTTTCCAAACCAACATCTACTCTTTATTGTAGTAACCTATGGGGATAAAAGTGAACTGTGCTATGCCTTTTTTCCTATCTCATGGAACTCAAGAGATAAATGTAAATTTGCCTCCTTTTATAATTATAAAAGAAAACTCTAAGACTGCTATCCAATTATTACTATTTTTACTAGGAAGTTAGCTAAGTTATTACCTTCTTAATTTTTTGGAAAATGTCATGAATTGCCCTGGGTATAACTCCCAAACAATCTTCTGAACCCATCATAGTATGTGTTTTTCCTGAAGCAGTCTGCCCATAGGCAAATATAGTGCCTATAAAACAAAATACACACATGCAAGGATTAAAAATAAATCTACAGTGAGTGAAACTGTCAATGCTTGTTGAGTAGATGCTGAAGACTAAAATGTTTCTATAGCATCAAAGGAATACAAACCATTGTAGCCTTGTATAGCAGAATCAATGATAGGTACTGCTATTTCCTCATAGACATTCTTAGTAGTTTCACTACTATGAAAGACTCGATCTAAGAAAACAAGAAAAACACAGATGTCAAACAAATCAACTGTGTACTCACTCTGAATTAGTAATCACTCAAAGAAATAAAATTGTCAGGGACTAGGATGACAAGATATTTAAGAAAGTATTTTCTTCAACCTTTTTGTCTTCTGAAAATACACAAAGATAATGTGTTTGGACCCATACAGAAAAAACAAAAGTCACCTAACCTTTGTGTTTTCAAATGGCAGTAAGGCATAGTGGTGCATATAGAGCTCTGGAATCAAAGCTGTGTGACACTGACCAAGGGAGTTACTGTCTCTGTGCCCCAATGTGTAAAATAGGCACATATTATCATCATTATTGAATTATTGTAAGTATATGGTTAATACCTAGGAGATATGAACCATTACTGTGCTTAGAATTAAGGGTAGCTTTTGCACTGATGAGTTTGCCCTCCTAAGGTTTGATTTCTTTGCTTTTGCTAGGACACACACAAAAATGGATCTTTGTTTTAATGGTGGCTCACAGGAAATAGATGTGTAAATTGGGAGGGAAACATACTGATTTGCCGTGAGAAATTCAGTGATCATGCTGCTCTATCATGACCACATATCTGCCCTGCAGGCAGAAGTATATGAGAAATCCAAGTGCCAACTGAAGGCTGCTCAGGTGACATGATTTCAGAATGAAGAGAACTGGTAGATGACTCAAATTTTAATGCCTCAGGCAGATGGAGGAGTCCAAATCTTTGATGATCATACGTAGCCACTAAAACCCTATAGTACAGGAGTCTGAATGCTTGGGTATCCCTTAATTTGGATTTACAATGCCTGGCACAGACTGTTTTTACCTTCTAAAAAAGTTATGTTAAGGGGCTGTGGTTGTGGATATTTGAAAGAAAGCAGTAGTAAAATTGTAGTAACCCAGGGATAAAAGTGAACCCTGTGCTATGCTTTTTTTCCTATCTCATGGAACTTTCCTATCTCAAGGCAGAGTACTTGCCTAGCATGTGTGAGGCACTGGGTTCAATCCTCAGCACTACATAAAAATAAACAAATATAATAAAGGCATGTTGTCTATCTATAACTACAAAATTTTTTTTAAAAATTATGCTAATACCAACAATCATTTCATCTTCTATACTTCTCTGCTGTAAAACATTACTTATTGGTTTTGTGGTTTAACACCAACACTTTTATTCATTCTTAAGATTATTGAGCAGACCTGTTTCTGTCCAGATTTGGAAGCAGTTCTGTTAGCATGAATAGAACAGATTGGAGACCAATTCTTCCACTTGCTGATTGTGTGACTCTAGCCCTCTATTTTGGTCCTTCATTAAAATGGGAAAGCAACAGTACCTACTGCATAGATTTGTCAGGAAGATTAAACAAGTATATTAACATGAACTGCTCAGAACAATGGCTGGGACATTATATATGTTCAGTCAATGAAGAAATCAATTTAGTTATCTTTAAGGCCTCAAAGTCCTTTTGGCATAGCTAGCCTTCGTGTTTCATTGTAGCAGAACCTTTTTTGGATTATTGGACTAAATTAGATCCTCCACTAAAAATTCCCACAAAGCTTATCTCATCATGAATTTAATGCCTTTAGATAAGGTCCACAAAAGCAGAGATGAGTCCCTGATATATTTTAGCAGATAAAGAAGAAACATCTTCTTCATTAAGAGTTTGAAAATAATTGCAAAAAGAGTATACTAAATTGAAAGATCTTAATGATGACTTGATACTGTACAATATACTTTGGTTTTATGGAGTTTTATGCTATAAATAAATAAACAAAAGGAGAAAAACATTAGTTTCAGCTATAAGGTACTAAAATTATAACTGCTTTCAACATCAATTTATTATCTTTCTTTTCATCCATGATGGACAAATAATTTTTTTGGTTCCAGTGAAGCAGTTTACAAATCTTTAATGACAAATCTAGTGTTACTGATATGCGTTTAGTACTCTTAATAGTAAAAGGATAACAGGCTTAACAGGCTAACTTTTTTTTTTTTTTAAGTTATAGATGGACACAATATCTTCATTTTGTTTATGTATTTTTATGTGATGCTGAGGATCGAACCCAGTGCCTCACATGTGCGAGGCAAGAGCTCTGCCACTGAGCCACAACCCCAGCCCAGGCTAACTTTTGATGCTGTTATAAGCTTACCGAAATTGAAGGATTTACTCCCATCAACTTGATAAATAGCATTATTGTCAGTTTTCCAGTAAACTTGTGTAGCTTCTCCAAGTTCTTCTTCTCTAAAAGAATAAAAATACTACATTTTAGTATAATATAACTGATCATAGAAGTCATGTTATAGGAAGGATAACTTAAAAGATTTCATGTTCTAAAGAACATTTTAAAAGATGGTAACTAGCCAAGTGTGATACTGTATGCCTATAACACCAAAGACTCAGGAGGCTAAGGTAGGAGGATCACAAGCTTCAGGCCAACCTTAGCAACTTAGCAAAACCCTGTCTCAAAATAAAAAAATGGTAGTGTCCCTGGGTTCAATTCCCAGAACCAAAAACAACAACAAAAGATGGTTATAACTTTTATCACATATATAAGGAAAAGATGAAAAGTCCATGTTGGAAGTTTCAGAGTTCAACTCTCTAAATAGGGGTTTAGTGATCTCCAGTCTGTGGGAGGCCATCCTCGAAAGTGATTTGAGTTACCTCCTTGGCTGGGTGAGAGGTGCTTAGACATAACTGTGTTAGAGCCTTTTTACCGAGCCAGGGAGGTAACTCAAATCACTTTCGAGGATGGCCTCCCACACCAGTTCTCTTATAGGAGTTTCCTTGTGAAGCCCTTCACTTCCAACTTCCCACCCAGTACTGGCAGCTGAAAGGATAGATTCAAAATATAGCTCTGCTTGTCATCCTTCCTTAAAAAAAAAAGAAAGAAAGAAAAGAAATTAGGAAAACTATCCTATTCACAATAGCCTCAAAAAAAAGAATACTTGGAAATCAACCTAACAAAATAGGTGAAGGACCTCTACGATGAAAACTATCGAACACTAAAGAAAGAAATTGATTGAAGAAAACCTTAAAAGATGGAAAGACCTCCCATGTTCTTGGGTAGGCAGAAATAGTCAAAATGGCCATACTACTAAAAGTGCTAAACAGATTCAATGACCTTCTTCATAGAAACAGAAAAAGGAGTCATGAAATTCATTTGGAAAAATAAGAGGCCTGAAATAGCTAAAGCAATTCGTGGTGAGAGAAGTGAAGCAGGAGGCATCATAATACTTGACTTCAAATTATACTACAGAGCTATAGTAACAAAAACAGCATGGTACTAGAACCCAAACATATAGGTATGATTGGTCAGGAGAAAAAGCAGGAGACTTTGGAAATGAGAGTTCAAGTCTTAGCTGGTACTGGGGTGGTTTTCAAAAAGCCATTTATCTTCTATGAACCTCAATTTCTTATCTGTAAAATTAGAGAATTGTATTAACTGATCTCCAAGATCAGTTTTTTTTCATAGCAGTATGATTTTTTGAATTTGAAATTAATATTTCCCAAACAGAAAGACTTAAGTATAATTAGGGCTGACATATAAACATAAAACAATAAATTCCATTGGAGTCAGGTGTGTCTTGTTGTTATTTTAATTGCCAATTAGATAAAGGTGTGCATACTACCCAAACTGTCTCTATCCAGTGAGTAGACATATAAAAGTAAAGACATTCAAATTTGGAAGAAAATAATACAACTCTGATTATGTCCTATTGATTCAAACCTTAAAAACCTTCTAGAAACTTATGAAATACTTAGCATGGCACAGGACACATGGACCATGTCACTTCTCTCTTCAACCTCATTTTCCTCTAAATTCCTGCATACACCTTAAGTGTCAAACAAATCAACTAATCTGAAGCTGTTCCTAAAATGATGTTAGCTTAACCTCTCCATACCTGGATTACCATTGTCCTTCCCTTCCATTAAGTTACTTACATATTCTTCCATTCATGAAGTGTCAGGACTTTACAGCCACCAGCCTGTCTCACCCAAACTGTCATCTCTGATAGGCTAATGACTCCTCTGGCAAACATTCTCCACTGGGCAATCATAATGTATTGTAATGGCTTCTTTATGTAGTTATTTTACACCCAGTTAGAGAATGAGCTTCTTAAAAATAGAAAATTTAAAATCTTGACAATCTCATTTGTTAAACAGACCGTAGTGCTTAATAACAATTTTTCAAATAGAAAAAGTGTTAGCATAGCATTTTGAGTTGAAGGCCAGAGGCTAGAAAAACCAAACTTAATTTCTCTTTTTGATTTTCCTTTTGATAGCATTTACTACTCCTATATCACCACTTAACATTGTTTACTGTATTGTTTCCTCACACTAGGAGAAAAGAGCCACAGGACAAGGATGCTATTATGTGTTTGAACTTGTGAATAAAAAAATCATTAGTAAAATTTGTTGAATGAATGGATGGATAAGGTCTTGAGCATCTACTAAATGCAATGCAAGTCCTTGCTCTCAGAGAGTTCAGACAGCTAGTGAAGTGTAAAACAAGTAACTATGACAGGACTTCTCCAGGGTGAGGAGATCAGGGAGGCACCGATGCCAGAAAGGAAGTGCGGGGCACGGGTGAAGGTCTTTACTGTCAGCAAGTCCGATTAAGATTTAAGCGAATCCCGCAGCCAGGAAGTATCTTCTAGCTCTCTGATCCTTCCCGGTCACTTTACAGACGGGGGAACAGCGGCACAAAGCGGGCAAACCGCGGAGTTACTAAGCAGCGGGGCCAGAAGGTAGCAACTCCAGGAAAAGCCAAGGAAGGTCTCCACCCTCCGACCAGGGCCGCGACCCGGGCCGCGACCCAGGCCGCACTGGCGACCCGACCACTGTCGCGTCCACCTACCTGCTGCTGAGCGGCCGGACTCGCACGCATACTGCCACAGCCCCTTCCTCTGCCATCCTGCCAGCCTAGGTCCCAGGAAAATGGTGAGGAAACTGGGAACCGCACCGCCGACACCCTGGACTCTAAGGCCGCCCCGCCTTTCAGTTTAAAAATTCCCAAACGCCGCATCTGATTGAGCGGCGGCCTCATGACGTCGTGGACTGTTCCATTTGCAGCGCGGCGCCAGGGGGGAGGAGAGAGGCGCGCCCACCGCGCTCGAGTGGAGGGGGACTTTAAAGGTCTGGTTTCAGAGGAGCGGACCTTGGAGGCGGGGTCTGGGAAGCTGTTGCTTTCAAATAGGTGAAAAGGCTGTTATTTTCTAAAAGAGGTATTTGGGGTACAAATACCTCTCTTAAAAAGAGTTTGCAGTCTGTAGAAGAAACTAGGCAAAGATACGTAGTTTTTCCCTAACAGAAGAGAATTCACGATCTTAAAAAACGAGAATAAAAAACAGCCCTCCCACCACACTTTTAAAAGATACCTCAGAGGACAAGGGTTGAAATTCACTGTTCCGTTCAGAAGTAATCATTTGTGCTCCGTAGAATTTCTGCTTTTAGATTTTTTTTTCTTTTTCTTTATGTAATTTCCGTTTTCATTGGCTGTGAATGGCTGAGCTTAGGGAGAAGAATGACTGAAGACTGGAAGAACTTATTTAGTAATGTGTTGAAACTTCTTTTTTTTTTAAAAAAAAAATTATTTTAGCTACACATAGACACAATATCTTTATTTATTTTTATGTGATGCTGAGGATCAAACCCAGTGCCTCACATGTGCAAGGCAAGCACCACTGAGCCACAACCCCAGCCATAGGTGCTGAAACTTCAATTAACTGAAGAGAGAAAGTGCTTTAATTACCTGCCCTGCCCCCAAAGTGCTTGATTTTCCTTTGTTTTAAATATATGTTACAGAAAAGTACCAACATGGTTTTTTTTAGAAGAAGTTTCAGTCTTTTTCTTGATTGATTTAGGGAACATCAAGAATTATCCACACTTTCCCTCACTAAAAACATGACCTACAATTACTAATAATTGTTCATTATAGAGTTGAAAACTCTACTTCAATAGAAGTATTTTGGGAAGTCATTTGGCAATATTAATAAAAACTGAAGATTCAAATACTCTATGACAGCAATTATATTAAGAATTTATATCTAGATATATACATACAAAAGCCTATTAATTTCAACATTGAAAATGCTGGGGATGTTGTTCAGTGATAAAGTACCCTGGGTTGAATCCCCAGTACTGCCAAAAATCAAAACCCTAGAATTGGGATAAATGTCCCCCAAAGGCCTGTGTATTAAAGGTCACCAGTTTGGTACCATTGGGAGGTGGTAGATATGGGTTTAAGACGTGGGTCCTATTGGGAGAAAGTTAGGTGGCTGGGGGCATGCTCTGGAAGCATGCCTTCTTTGGGACCTCATCCCCTCACCCCCATCTCCTCCACGCCACCTCTTTTGCTTCCCCACCACTATGAAGTGAGAGCTTCCTTTGCCACTCACTCCCGCCATCATGTACTGCCACTGGTCCAAAGCAATGGGCCAACTTATTATGGACTGAGACCTCCAAAACTGTGAGCCAAAATAAGCCTTTCCTCTTTGTAAGTTGATTTATCTCAGATATTTGTTACAGTAATGGAAAGTTGACTAACAGATAACACAAAGTTAAAGAAAATATGTTTTAAGTTTTTTTTTTTTAAATTATGGGCAAATACCTATAATATTCCCCTCACAACCTGCTCAATCAGCAGCACATGTATTGTGGAAGGGAAGGAGTCTATGAAGAGGAAGAAGGAATATGTAGTTAATAAAAGTCTCTGATGAGATAAAAGGGATTGATTCACAAGCAGAGAGGAAGCATTAGCCTTTCTCAGCTGTGCTTGTGACTGTTTCCATGGCTGTCTTTGTGGTCATCATCATAGCAGTCAACATTTATTGGACATTTACTATATGCCAGGCTTATATATGTTTTACATCTCCATTTCGTTTGACCTATCAATTTTGTTCATCAAGAAATATTCATTGAGGATAAAGAAAATGTGGTATGTATACACAATGGAATATATCTCAATCTTGAAGAAGAATGGAATTATGGCATTTGCCAGTAAATGGATGGAACTATTATTTGAAGTGAAATAAGCCAATCCCAAAGAACCAAAGGCTAAATATTTTCTCTGATATGCGGATGCTAATTCACAATAAGGGAGGGAGAAATAGAGGTATTTTGGACTAGGTAGAGGGGAGTGAAAGGAGGGGAATGAAAAGAGGGGACGGGATACACGGAGAAGAATAATAGTAGAATGAACCAGGCATTATTACCCTATGTGCATACATGATTACACAACCTGTGTAACTCTATGTCATGTACAACCAGATGAATGAGAAGTTATACTCCATTTATGTATGATGTGTCAAAATGCATTCCACTGTCATGTATAACTAATTAGAACAAATGAAAATATATTAAAAAATAAAAATTTTAAAAAGAAATGTTCATTGAGCTACTACTGTGTGGCAAATAGGAGGCATAAGAGTGAATAGAATAGATAAAGCACCTGTTGTCATGGAGCAGCTATTCTTTTAGAGGAAATGAATAATGCACAAAAATATCCATCTATCATTCTCTCTCTTTCCTTCCCTATCTCTGTGTCTCCACACATACACACACACACACACACACACACACAAACACACACACCCTACACACATATATATGTGTGCATACACACACACACACACACACACACACACACATACCTATATCATGTGGGGATGAATACTGAGAAGAAATATACAGGCATACTGACAGGAAGAGGAGAGGGAGGGAGAAAACACTCTTATAGGAAGATGCACAGGGCCTCCTGTATGTTAAACATCCTGTCTACCATTGAGCTACACCCTTAGTCCCCAATCTTGTCCCTGGTTTCCCCCCGCCCCCGGTTTTATGTCCTACCACCCTCCCCTTTGCTCTCTCCACTCTAGCTACACTGGCCCCTGGCAGCTTCTTGACTCCTGGACAGGTTGCTTTCTTGTCCTTTATGCTGGCGTTCTTTTGGCTGCAGACTCCCAGATATCCATGTTTTCCTCCTTCCCTGTGATCTGGTAGCTGTCATCTTTTCAGAGCTTGCTCTCTTTCTGTAAAATAGCAACTCCCTTTTCAAATATTGTTTATAACTATCAGAAATAATATGTGAAAAGTAATTTGTGTTTATAACACCTGTCTCCTCCCACTACAATTTCGACTCCACAAAGTTACTGAAGTAGTTTTTATTTACTCCTTATCCCCTGCACCCAGAAAGATGCTTGCTATAAATGCTCAATTTAAAAAAAAAATTGCTTATTCAGTCACTCTATAAATACTTATAATGTAATTTTTGGAAAAATATATGGAATATTTTTGTGGAGATGGACTGAGTTGGGAAATAGATTTACCTTACATTGTATATTTTTCATTATTATTAATATCTAGACATGAAGATTAGTTTCTCTCAAGTTAAAAACTTGAGTTAATAGATTTAAAAAGTACATAAAATAGAATATATTTATTCAGGATTTGTTTTTGTTGTCCAGCTTGAGCTTGTATGAACTACTCCTTTTTCACGACTAAAGTGGGAAAATGCTGGGCTGCATGTAATAATAGAAGTTATGTTTTAATTTAATTTGAATTATAAGTTTATAATTGTACTTGTCTTAAGTTATGGAACTTCTAGAAAGAAAGACTTAAAATTTAGAAGCCTATAATTTCTTTAATAAGTAATTTAAAATTTTGATTAACATTTTTGTATCTAAAAAATTAATATATGCATATGGTAAAAAATTCAAATAGTACAGGAAGATTCACAGTGAAAAATCTTGCCACATTTGACTCATAAGGTACCAGTTTGCCTTCCTATAAGTTACTATGCTATCTCCTAATGTGTTCTCATCAAACTAATCTGTAGATATATGCACATATATTTTTTTCTATGATTTTTACATAAACAAGTACCTGCTATGGATTTTGTGGTTCACATGGCTTAAAGTGTGATCTTTACCTAAAAATTCATCAGTTCAAGAGGGGAAAGTGAATTTCTGAGGCATGTTAATTGATGTTTTAATTATTTCTCCTGTTATTTATGCTGGAACTGCAGAGGGCACTGTAATCCTTCCAAAAATGAAAGGCATAATCATGGATAGTGCTTTGAAGATCTCAATGTGGTGCAAATTTTGAATCCGGAGAAGCCCTTATGTTAAAAATATATATATCCATTACTTATCTATCCTTGCCTATTTTATATATAATATATAAAATTAATTGCTATATATATATAATGTGATCACCTTTGATAGGAATGATTTTTGTTTAATAGATACAATGCTCAATATCCAAAGTATAATTCTTATTTTTAATTTGAAGATAATGATCACAGGCATAGGAGCTCTTCCCTCTTAATAATGGTTAAAGAGGATTTGTGTGGCATCATGAAAGCTGCTCTGACCTGTGTCAGTCCAACTCCACCATTTATAAGCTATGCGATACCGGAAAATCTTTTATCTCTATGAGTCACTGTTTTGTCATCCTTAAAATGAAGGAATTGGATGATAGAGTTTCTAAGGTTCATTTCAGTTTCAATAAATCTATGAATTCTTCATTAGAAAAAGGCAACTTGAATTGACAGTAGATTTTTTAAGCATTTTTACTACAAAAAGTATGTGAAGTAATATGTATGCTAATTAACTTGTTTTACTCATTCCTCAATGCATATACATACACACACACACACACACACACACACATATATTCAATTAAAATAATTAAATAATTAAAAGGAAGCATGTTCAAATTGAACATGGATGAGTATGAAATTGAGTATGGATGTGTGAGGGAATGGGAAAGTTGATCCATGTTACAGAGAAAATCTCAGTCGTAAGATGGCAGAGACTGATAGCAGTCTACCAAAATCCATTCTTCTGTTTCTGGCTAGAAATCAAAACTACCTTGCCATCTTGTCTTGCAGTGAGGATGTCATTTGAAAGCCTGCACAATAAAAACTGCACAGGTATCCTTTTCCTCCTGGATCCTTGATGAGCCTTCCTTCTTTCCTGCATTTG